GTGTCCGCTCTGGGTGATCTAAGGTGGTGCGTGTCATCTCTGGGTGATCTAAGGCGATGGGTGTCCGCACTGGGTGATCAAAGGCGGTGCGTGTTTGCACTGGGTGATCTAAGGCGGTAGGTATCTGCACTGTGTGATCTAAGGCTGTGGGTGTCTTCACTGGGTGATCTAAGGTGGTGCGCATCTGCTCTGGGTGATCTAAGGCGCTGCGTGTCTGCACCGGGCGATCTAAGGCAGTGCACGTCTGCACTGGGCGATCTAAGGCTGGGCGTGTCATCTCTGGGTGATCTAAGGCAGTGTATATCTACATTGGGTGATGCTAAGCCGATGTGTGTCAGCTCTGGGCAGCTGTGTAACGTGGATGTAGAGAACGCAGCGGCACCCATGGCTCACCTGGGAACACAGGGTCAGGATGGCACTCTCCAGCACTCTTCCCGCCTGCTCACCGGAGAAGTATCCACCTACAAGCACAGGCTCAGTCACATGGGTGCTGGGTCCTCAGTCCAAAACCACCCCCAATACCAACATGCCCTGAGCCCACTTCCCAAATCGGCCCTACAGGAGACCTGTTTTGAGTTAACAGATCAGTGTCATCAGATCAGTGTCATTGCTGTCCCCAGCCCAGCTTTGACCTGAGGAACTCGCTGGCTCAGGGGTGAGTTCTGAGAGCCATTTCCCGCTCAGGCCCTGGATGCTCTCTGGCCCAGGGCAGCCAGGGAGGCAAGGCCCTAGGCTCAGAGGTGACAGGCAGCTGCTGGGCCTACACCTGCTGGGAGTTGGGGAGGTTGGGCGGATTCCTCCCTCGGGAGGAAGCAAGGAAGGGGCTCCTGGGCAGAGCGAAGCAGGTGTGCACGGCAGGGGGCAAGGGGCAGGGGGCATGGGGGTGCCTAGGACCACCCAAGGGGGAGGCGCCTGCAAAGACACTGAGCCATCAGAGCTGCAGGGGACTTGGCCCTTGGTGCCACCTTCCAGCCGCTGTGGCTTCCGGTGGGGCCCTAAGAGGTCCATGGCATGGCTTGTACCATCGGGAGCGCATCTGTGACGGGATCTGCGTTTGCTGTGATTTTTGCAGGAGAGAACTGTGTCTCATCACTTAGGGTTTTTCTCAGGCAGCAGGGGGGCTCCTGCCCTGTGCCCACCCTCTCTGCCACACACTCCTGTCCCTTCCTTGGTATACCTGAGCACTGTCAAGGCCTCCACGGGGTCAGCACCAACCTGAGCACAGTCAAGCCCTCCACAGAGTCAGCACCACCCTCCGGGGGGTAAAAGCTAACTCTTGGGCTGGGAAGGATCTTACTTCTCACAAGCCCAGAGACTCAGGACATAAACAGATAAACAGTGCATCCTAGTACCAAAGATGCATGGGGGCCAGCCACTGAGAAAAACCACCTAAGAAGACTTCCTGGGGCAACAACGAATAAAAGGGTGACAAAGTTTGTTTTACTCCATTCCCACCAATCCTCCAGGAATCAGCCCCAGCACCCCCTCCTCCAGGAAGCCTTCCAGGGTTCTCAAGTCTAGGCACTTCTGGGCTCGTGTCTGTCTGTGCCCTATGGGACCTAGGGTGCTTCTGTGCTCTGCAGAGCCCAGTGGGCTGCCAAGCATGAGTAGGCCGCCAAGCATGAGTGGGCCGTCTGGAAGTGCTCTCTGAGCTGAACTCTGAGTGAAAGGAAACCTGGGTCTCTCCGCACCACCCTGACACTGCTGTGCCCCATATGCTTCTCATGGGACTGGGCTCCTCATCTGTCCACAGCACCCTCCGCCATGGCAAGTGCTCAGTAGATCCCAGGGAAGGAGCGCTGTGGTGCAGCAAGCAGCTTCCTAGATACAACAGGGCAGCCCCAACTCCAGGGAGGACAGGGAGCTCACAGTCAGGAGCCTCACCTCGGTAGAGCAGGGCCGCATGGCGGTTCAGGGACCACAGGGCATAGAGAGCACTGAGCCGCCCCAGCACGGCCCGCAGCGAGGGCGGCACGCAGGGCCGGTGCACGTGCTCGTGGAACCTCTGCAGCACCGTGAGCTCCATGAAGGCCAGCGCCAAGGGGCGGCCGTGGAACACCTGCAACACAGGGCGGCACCGTGACGACCGTGGGGACGGGGAGGGCCCCAGCTCCGCCCACATGCCAGGCAGAGGAGGTTCCTGGGAAACATGAACACGGCTCTGTGCTCCCGTGTGTGTCCTAGGACGGTAACCCAAGGTGGGGCAGCGTACAGACACAGCGCAGCACGAGGCATGTTTCCAGAGCAGAGCAGAAAAGGTCTATGTAAAGATGGAACTGGGACTGGCTCTGGCTTCACCCATGCCCTTGGAGGCCTCATTCTCAGCTCAGCTCCTGTCTGGGCCTGAGGGTGGCACTGGCGTTGCATACAGGGCCTGGGGCAGGCCCCGGAATGTCCCTCGGCCATAGTGTGGGGTCCACCAGCAGGCCCCCGCGGGCCCAGGACCTGGTTTCCTTTCCATCTGGGAGGATGGAGGGGCTGGAGAAGGTGCTCTGGAGAAGGTGCTCGTCAAGCTCCTCCCTGAACTCCACGGTGACCGCTTCTCCAAAGCAACTGCCACCCCCTCCTCCAAAGCTTCTGAAGGCTTCTCTCCCTCTGTCCCGCTGCAGCGCTCCCCACAGGGTCTGCGGCCCCATCTGTACTCCGTGAGTACCCGGTGTTTAGCACCCACGTCTACGTGTGAAGACGCAGCACTCGGTTTTCTTGTCTGCGGTAGTTTATTTAGGATATGGGCCTCCAGCTGCACTCATGTTGCTGCAGAAGAGATGACTGCTCTCAGTGATGGCCGCATGGCAGCCCGAGGTGGGTATGTGCCACCGTTTCTTCATCCAGTCCACCGCTGCCGGGCACCTGGGCTGATTCCAAGTTTTTGCTATTGTGAGCAGTGCTGCGATGGACATACAGGTGCACGTGTCGGGCTGGCAGGGCGACTTCCTTTCTTTTGGGCTTATACCCAGTAATGGGATCGCTGGGCTGAGGCGAAGAGCAGCTCTCAGCCCTCTGAGAAATCGCTGAGCCGCCCTCCATGGTGGCTGATCTCATTTGCATTCCACCAATGTGTATCGTGTATCGGTGTCAGTCTTCTCCACAGCCTCGCCAGTATCTGCTATTTTTCTTTTTTAATAAATATCAAAAACATTTGCTGATAATCATCAGCTTCACTTATAAGCCTTTCTTTCCCTATCTCCAATTTATCATCTTACCAGATTTTTTTTAATTAGAAAAGCAGGCCAGGCTCGGTGGCTCGCGCCTGTAATCCCAGTACTTTAGGAGGCTGGGGCGGGCAGATCACAAGGTCAGGAGATGGACACCATCCTGGCCAACATGGTTAAACCCTGTCTCTGCTAAAACACAAAAAATTAGCTGGGTGTGGTGGCAAACGCCTGTAGTCCCAGCTATTCAGGAGGCTGAGGCAGGGGAATCCTTTGAACCTGGGAGGCAGAGGCTGCAGTGAGCAGAGATCACGCAACTGCACTCCAGCATGGGTGGCAGAGCAAGACTCTACCTTAAGAAAAAAACAAAGAAAGAAAAACAACACATGCACTGCTTGTTAGGATGAGCACATGCCACTTTTAAAATTAAAAAAATAATCCCGGCAAGGGATGAAATACGGGGTCATGGGGGACTGACTGCTGCAGCAGGACCCAGCTGTGCGCCTGACACGTGACACTGCCCCAAATCTTCCCAGAACACAGCAGGGCAGAGCACACGGCAGCAGGGTCCTCAGTCACAAAGCCAGCGTCTTCCAGGGCCCTGCTGGGATCAGCAGAGATTGGGAGAAGCTGCTTCATGCCAGCCTGACTGGTCCTGTCCCAAGACCCCCGCTGGGCCCTGTGCACTCCTGGGCGGGCCATCCTGCCGGTGCCGGGAGGGCCTGTCCTGCTCCCTGCTGTCTGAGTGTGGAGCGTGCCAGTCCGGGCCCTTGGGGCTCCCCTGCCCTCTCCTGCTGTCACACGCGCTGTGGCTCTGACCCTTGGTTTGGTGAGTGAGGGCTGGTGGTGGGATGTGGATTGAACTGGGGCGGTGGGGATTGCATGGGAGACCCCAGCGAGGACTAGCGCCCAATTTCCCAGAGCTCTGCTGAGTGCGGTGGGGCAGCCCTCAGGCTCCCACCCGAGGCCTCTGGCAGGAGGCTGATGATACAGCCCGTGGGGGAGCTGCCAGGCGTGGTACTGTAGCCCCAGGCCTCAGCCCCTCCTCCTTCCTCCTTCATGAAACAAGCGGGAGATGGCACCTGCACCATCGCAGGCTGCTCCTGCGTCCACAAGAACACACGAATTCCATTAAATCCTCCCACACCCCAAAATGTGCTCCCACACCACGGGGGCCTCTCCTTCGCCATGGGTCCTCTGTGAACCCACAGATGAGGCCAATCCCAGCAGGGCCCAGGCACGGAGAGACCGTCCTCAGAACGAATCTGAGCCCTGTGCCCTGTACTGCATCTCTGCACCTGCACAGTCGCCACGTCAGAGTCGAGCTGCTTCAGTGTGTTTTCTGAGAAAGTGACACAGCTCGATACAGTGATGGCACAGGCCAGACAGGCTGTGAGGGCCAGAAAGACAGTCCCACCTGGAACCCTGCCACTGCCAGTGGGCTCTGAAACACAGAGTCACTCGGCTCTGCAGCCGTGCGCGCAAGCAAAGGGCTCAGGGCTCCAAGCCTCAGCGTCTTCTCCTGCGTGGTGCTGCTGGGGTCAGGGTGGCCCTCTCACGGGGAGTGCCTGTGATGGCAGCTCTACTGAGCTGGATTACATCTCGGTCCCCAGGATTGGCCTGCGTGACACTGCGCTGCTCTTCCAGGAAAGGTCTAGGGGTGGACGGGGACATAGTCTCCGAGGATGGGCTGGGACCCAGAAAGCGTCCCACACAGTGTGGACTCTGGGGACCTGGGGGGACAGCAACACCTCAGGGGCAGTCCCTCCCCCATGGCCAAAGTGTCCCCATAGCTATGGTTAGGGCTGGCACACTCCAGCCAAGAATGCTCACGGCACCCACAGACACATCCGGGAGCCCCATGCCCCCACCAGCTGCCCTCTAGACAGTGATCTTCTGGACCATCTCACCTGCCCCTCCAGAGCTGCCAAACTGTCCCCGGCTACGACTGTGACAGGCACTTCTCAGACTCGATGCAGCTAAGATCAGCTGTCCCTTTACAGCAGTGAAGCCTGGCACCCAGGAAGCCTCCAGCCCAGGAGGGAGGGGAGGAGCCGGTCTGGTGCACTCTGACTTCTGAAGTACATTTTAAGAGGCAATGGACACTTCAGGCAGAAAACAAACCCCCAACTGTCCAAATTTAGACAGCAGCCTTGCAGCCAGGGAAAAGGGCGGGGCTCCGGGTCAGTGGGCCGGGTGTGATCCTGGCTCCTGGGGAAAGGGAGGGGCTCTGGGTCAGCGAGCGCGGGTGCGATCCTGGCCCCTGCACAGGTGAGCTGGGAGAGACCTTGTGCATTTCTCTTGGCCCCAACTTCCTTCAATCCCCAAGCAGACACGAAATGAGCCAGGTGCAGAGCCCAGGGTGTGGCTCAGCGAGAACCAATGTCCCCGTCCTTGCCCACCTGCTGATGTGCAAATCCTGGAAGGGAACCTCAAGCCCTGGTGACAGGGGCTGGTCCCAGGCTAGAGGCAGGGTGCGGGGACGCCAACACCCCTGTTTTTATACCTGCTGGCTGCCGGACATGTGAGGCTGCGGCCCGGCCGGGAAATTAGAGATGTATGCTTAAAGACCTTCCTGCGCATGCCTGGCTTACAGCAGGTAAATGGTCAATAGCAGTTATTGGCAGGAACCAGAAAAAAATGAAAAGTTAATAAATTCTCCTACCAGCTCAAAGAGCAAGCATACTTTTAACAAATGGTCAGTAACTTTCCCAAAGGACACGGCCGGCACCTGCTCCACTAACTGCGCTGCGGCCCGACCCCAGCCTGAGGCCTGCGGACGTGCAGCTTTGCCCTGCGCTCCAGGCCCTGGCTCCACGTCGGTGGCTGCTGGGGCTGCGTTCCCACCAGGCCGGCCATCTCTCTGAAGGAATTCCTTCCTTTCTGGGGGTGCTCTGTCGGCGACGTGCGACGTGGGCTCCCCAGTCTGCCGTATCTTCTGATTTTGCTTAGGGCATCTTTTGCAATGCGGAAATGCTCAACCTTTATGCAGCCAAATCCGATGGTTTCATTTTTTAACAGCTTCCGGCTCCCATCTTCCTGAGAAGGCTGGTCTAGGCTGAGGTTTTCTTCTCATACTGTGTGCAGGGGAAGGGGTTGCATCTCCCGTGGGCCCCCGAAGCATCCAGCCTAGGGCCCCAAGGGCTCTCAGCTGTCACAAATGTCCCCGACTCTTAAAAGCTCTGAGACCCAGAGCAGGCCTGGAACACAAAGCCCGCCTTGCCCACTGCTTTCCCTCCAGGCCTTGTGGCGGGTGTCTGTGGGTGTCTGTCAGCTCCACAGCTCTGCCCAGGGTCACCGTCTCAGCTGGACCCAGAACCCAGGACCCCTCCTGGCCTCTGCCGCAGGACTCCCTGAAATTCTGTTACCAAGTTCTGGCAGGAGAGGCTAAAGGTGAGTGGTTTCTCTGCAGCTGAGCCATGAACTCGGGGTGTTGTGGGGTCGCGCATGCCAGGTCCCCAGCATAGACCGGGGCTGGAAGGGGTGCTAAGGACCTACTGGGCAGTTCCAAGAGATGCAGGTGTCGTGAGGAATAAGGCCCTTTTGTGGCCTCCATCTCCGGGGGCTTGCTTCATAACTCACTGGAATATCTCTACTCCATCAAAACTTTTTTTCCTTTTTTGAGACAGGCACTCACTCTGTTGTCCATGCTGGAGTGCAGTGATGGCCCACTGCAGCCTCAACCTCCTGGGCTCAAGCGATCCTCCTGCCTTGGCCTCCTAAAGTGCTGGGCTGACAGGCATGAGCCGCTGCACCAGCCTGTTTCCCCTTAACATGAGGCATGGCCTGTGGAGGAGGGAGCAGCGGAAGCTGGCGGCACCCACTGGCTTCCGAATGACCCAACCTGCTGTGTGTCAGCCAGGCTGGGTGCAGAAGACAGCCTGTTCTGGAAGTGTCACTTCAAGCCACTTATTTTTGGTCACCATGGCCCTAAACTACAGGTTTTACTGACTTGGCCATCTGCTGACTTCATTCCTTCTCAGCCATAAATTCAATCTGGGTTTCTTTGAGCTAGACAGGAGCCCAGCCTTCCCGCCTTCCCTCCTCACCCCAGGGCAGGTGTGTCCAGCAGGCTCCTAGAGATGCTGGCCTGAGGGGCAGGGCTGCCCCTAACAGCAGGCTGTGGGGTGCTGGGCCTTCCCAGGGACAGGCAGATGTGAACCTGGGTCCCCACGGCGGCTTCATTACTGAAGGTGGCCCATACCTCATGAACCGACAGCAGGAAGAAGGGAGGGAAGCAGGCAGTCTCCTTATCCCCGGGCTCCCTGCACAACACGCATGGCCTGAGGCTCCCCATAGCTACAGCTAGGACTGGCGCACTCCAGCCAAGAGTGCCCACGGCACCCACACACACAGCTGGGAGTCCCACTGCCCCCACCAGCCGCCCCCTAGACAGGGTGGGGGCTGGGCTCCGCTCAAGGGCAGACAGCCGGGACAGGGCTAGAATCACACAAAAGGCGTTCCTGGCATGACGAGGCATTTTATAACACGGTGTTTTTGCCCTGTGGCTTCCTGGAACACAAGAGACAGCCCTGTCTGAGTGTGAGAACCAAAGCTCTTTCCAAGGCCAACGATGAGACACTCACCATTGCCACCCCAGCCCCTCACGCAGGTGAGAGCAACTTGTGAAACACCAAGCAGGGCGCTGGCACCACCGCCACGGGTCAGGAAGGGGCGTTCGGAGTGCCCGCAACGGTGTCCCCGCCCCTGTGCATCTAAGGCTCTCACAACCAAGCGTTTCACAGCTGATGGGAACCATCAGCCACAGGAAATGTAACATCCATGATGTCACCAGCCCAGCAGGGCAGGTGCCTCCGTCCCCGTGTTACAGAGGAGGTGAGCAAGCAGCAAAGTCAAGTCATCTGCCCAAGGTCACGGGAACTCAAGGTCTGGGGTCTCAATGTTCAACCTCCCAGGGGCACAACGGCCAGGGAATTAGGAGCAAATGATGCAACGGGAATTTTAAAAACAAACGCGTACCTGGCAGTTGTTCCTTGCTTCAAAGTCATCACTTCCTGATCTCTTCTCTTGGTTTAATTTTTCATGAGTCTCTCGGAGCAGGTAGCAAACCAGCCACTTGTACGCCGCCAGGGTGACTTCAGAACAAGAAACAAAAGAAAAAAGATCACAATCGAGAAGCCAGCGTGTGCCACGGCCCACCCCCAGGACAGCATCCTGCAGGCACCGTGTCATCTTCATGACGAGCAAGTGTAAGGGGTGGGTCTGATTTTTACAGATGGGGAAACTGAGGCACAGGGAGGGCAGCTGCCCAGGGTCCCCTGGCTGGAGGCGCCTCCTGGCTCAGCTGCGGGGCTGTCCTGAGTTCCACACTGTTGCCTGGAGGCCACAGGGACACGGCACCACGGCTACAGCAGGCCCTCGAGCATGATGGCTGCACGTTCTCGCAGGCACCAGGCTGGGTCTGTGTGAAACCCGGTGCTGCCCCTGCGGTGCCAGCCAGGACTGCATGGGCAACAGGTAACTGCCCGGCAGTGGTGCCCAGTGGCGAGAGGAAGGGGTGCTTCCGTTTACCTCACCCTGCTTCGTTCTCGGACCTCAGTGGCCTGCTGGAGGTAAGGAACTGGGGGCTGACAAGGGGGTGGGGGGCACCTAATGCCTCTCCCCCTGCATGGCCCCTCATAAGGCTCAAAAGGGCAGGAGGGAGTGGATGCTGCAGACAGGGAGGCCCCGGGAAGGGGGCTGTCAGGCAGGACAGCTGGAGCCCCCTCTTCGTCCTCCCCTCCCCCTGGCAGTGGTGCCCACATCTGCAGGGCCCTCCACAGCACAGCCAGAGCTGGCCTTCTGCAGCACTCCCTATGGACCAGGCGCGGTCCCGAGACCCCACCAGGCTGTGCTGCTATCACCCCACTGATGAGGACATGGGCCCAGCGGTCTGGCGCCTGGTGAACACATAGGGGAGGGATGTGGACCAGCCACGCCCAGAGGTCACAGTCACACCCACCCCTGCCCACAGACGGCCTGGAACCTGGACACAAGGCGTCTCCAGGCTGCAGGGGGCCTTCTGCCTGGCACCCGCTCTTTCTCAGAGCTCCCAGGAAGGAGAAAGGGGATCAGCCACGCTGAGTCTGAGTCCAAAGGCTGAACTTGGGAGGCTTGAGATTTCCTGTCACACAGCCTAGGTCACTGGGAAGAAAATGTACAACAGTTGCAGTTCCTGCCACAGTACTTCCAGCTGCTTTCGGCTGTTACATCCGTTCACCCTTATGGCGTAACTGAGAAGTCTGTCACGGACCAGGGCAGGCGGTTTCCCAGGCCCAGACGCCAGGCGGCTTGCCGGAGGTCTCAGCTCCAGGGAGGGAGCGGGATGGAAAGGCAGGTGCCGCTGACTCCGCAGGCAGGGCACAGGCAGGGTTGGGCGACGCTTCCTCCATGCAGGCATCTTCGGGAGCCAACGCTTCCCTGACCAAGTCCTGCCAGGCATGGGGTACTGAATCGTGGCCCAAACTGACCCACAGAGCTGTGATGTGACCTTCCTTGTTAGAAGGTCTTTGCAGATGTCATGAAGTTGAGGTATTGAGGTGAGGTCACCGGGGACTCCTGGACTAGGGTGAACCCTAAATCCAATGACACACGTCCTTACAAGAGGCAGAGATGACAGAGTCACAGAGGAGGCAGCCCTGTGATGATGGAGGCAGAGGCCAGCAAGATGCAGCCACAGCCAAGGAAGCCTGGAGACGCCAGGTACCTGGGCGGGAAGAGCGGGAGCCTGGGTGGGAGGAGCCCCCCCAGTGCCCCATCCTGACTAGGGTTTCTGCCTCTGCATCAAGAGAGTCACTGTCTGCTGTCTCTGGTGCCCAGGCCGTGGCCCTCTGCTGCTGGCAGGCTGCCAGAGTCATCCTGGAGCCTCACCCCACCCTTCAGGACATTACAGGAAAACTTCGGTCGATTTTGCCACCAACGCCGAGGGAAGGCCCTTGTGACCACCGCCTATTCCTGACGGCTCTGCCACGTCCCAAGCCTTCACTAGCAAGGCGGACGGTCACGAACAGCAAGGAAAGGTGGACGCTGTACAGTTGTGCTTTCCATGACTTATTTACACAGCAACGAAACCAAGGAAACGGTCCGGGCCAGAAACCGCTTGTGCACATTCTTTCTGACCACACCAGAGGCCCCCGTGTCCCACCACGCATCAGCCATGGCTGGGCTTCCCTCCCAGCTTGTCAGGGCCGCTCCCGAACACGGCCCCAGGAGGTGTCCCTCTGCGGTGGACACCTCACTGCAGTTACCCGAACTTTCCAGTCTTTCTCCACCACCAGAATTAACCCATGAGGCTTCATGTCAATGACCAGTTAGCCCGAGCTGGGGGCTTCAAGGCAGAGGTATGCTTGGTAAACGAGTTATGTTTGCATCGCGCTTTTCCTTAAACTCTTTTAGTTCTTGGTTTTTCTTGAAAAATACATCACATCAGTCTGATGTGGTCACGTGCTGAGAAGATCCCCAAAAACCACATGAAAGCAAATGATGAAAGGTGGGTGCCGTGTGTGTGATTTCCAGAGTTAACTTGGAAGTGAAAAACTATCACTGAAACGAACTAGGCCGAACACGGGCCCTGATGGACAGTGAGTTCTCTTGGTCGGAATGCGGCTGCTGGAGGCCGGAGGGCACACCCAGCATCAACCACCGCTGTCCTCAAGGCTGTCCCAGAACCCTGGGTCACCACGGCCTTTCCATGTGCCACGCACCAGACAGGCTCTCGAAGGTGCCCCCAAAGACTGTCCCTCGGTCTGCCCCCTCCCCAGCCCGGGCTCTGCCCTTAGCCCCATGGAGAGCTCTCTGCATGCACTGCCTGCCTTTCGGGTCTGTTTCCCCTCTGCGCCACTGTCAGAGCACTCCTCCCCTGGGTTCTGACCCAGGCAAGCCCTGGACAGTGGCCCCAGCTCCTCAGCCAGATCATGGCCTGGGTCTGACCACGCCCGCCCCTCTGGTGCTCCTGAACGGCCAGTGCTCCCCAAATGCACAATACAGGGACACTCCAAGACCCACCTCGAGTGCCGGCTTTGTGGAAAGCATTCCTTGACCCACCAAGGCAGACCTCGCCTGCATCTGTTGTTTCCAAGGAAGTGCGCTCCCATGCAGCAGACCGCCACTGAGGGCAACACGGGCTGACCCCTGCCAGGCAGCATGGGGCACAGCATTCCCTCCCCACCGTCTTGCAGAAGGAAAACAGACTCAGAGAGATTAAAGCCTAGTTCAAGGTCACACCAGGGGTTAGCACTGACCCAAGAGCCTGAGCTCCCACCTTCTGGGAACACTGTCTGCACCCTGAACCCCACTGCCCAGGTCAGGGAGCCTCACTGCTCACCCTACGACCTCACATGAACCCCACGGTGCACTCCAGGTGACCTCACCACTCACTCCATGTGACCCCACTGCTCACATATGACCCCAAGTAACCTTATTGCTCACCCCACGTGACCCCACTGCTCACCTCACTGTGCATTCCACGTGACCTCACCACTCATGCCATGTGACCTCACTGTTCACACACGGCCCCATGTGACCTCTGGCCCACATCCCGTGACCTAGAAGTCCACACATACACATGTCCGAGGAGTGAATGCTGCAGCTGCTTACTACGAATGCACACCAGCCAGCGAAAGGGGAACAGGGCCCACCTTAGGAAGCAACAGTGCAGGCCCCAGAGGCACAGGGCTGTCTGTGACCCTCGGCTCAGCACACGCGCCTGTGCAGACATCAGAGGAACTCAACAGAAAACCCAGCCTCCCCCACGCAAGTCAGAATCACACGACCTGAAAGACCAGCCATGGGCTTTGCAAATCCTACGCCCTTCCTCACAGGTGACCACAACCCTGGAAAAGGCCTGCGTCTCTCCAGCCCTGCAGAGCCCGAGGGCCCCACGTGGACCCTTTACCAAAGATCCACACAACGCAGCTGCAGTCAGCCTGAGATCTGGGGTCTGTGACCAAACGCCGAGATGAGGGGCAAACTGCACCCACAGGCTTCCCTGCGGCCTGAGGGAGAACGGTGGTCTCTCTCCCATGCCCCTTCCAAGTCAAAGCCATCTGCCTTTGTTACTCCAGAAGATGTTTTCACTTTGTTGCATCTTGCAAAAATTAGGGCAGTGGCAGGAAAACCAGATGACTTTGGTGTCTTTCCCGATGCTGGAAGAGACTCCAAAACTGCTTTTGCCTTCACGGTCTCAGGGGAAAGGGAGGGAGGAGCAGAGCGTGACAGGCGCACGGAGAAGCTGGCTGTACTGTCTGTGTTTTGATTTTATTAATATGAGTGATGGTTTCAGGAAAAAGGTTTTGGCTGGGTTGAAGTTACTACAAAGATTGGGTCATTTTCTAGTTCTTTCTGTAGCAACATTTGGGAAGCTTAGAAAGTGACCTGCAAACACCAGAAATAGGTCATCAAACGTGCCCCTGTTTCCCGCTGGCACCCAAAAAGGCAGGCTGAGAGCTGCAAGGCTAGTTCCTGTCAGAAGCTGTAACCCAGTGCACCACCACGAGAGAAAGCAGTGACGCAGATGCTTCCCGATGACGACGCTGACGGCACAGGCAGGAGAAAGAGCCACTACTGTCCTGTTCTTGCCCTGTGAGCAGGGAAGCAGTCTGCAGGGCTGGAGACGGGCTTGGGCGCATGCTTGGGGGCTGCTGTCGCATCCACGAGTCAGTCCTGATGGTAGGAACATGTCCTCCACGTGTGCCTGTCCCCCGCATGGGGGAGGCCTGTGCTCCCTCCTCCCAAGGATCCAGGGGCCTCCCAGAACCCCCAAGGACCCTCACATTCTGGTCTTCTGAATGCAAAGCCAGGAGTGTCCTCCATCTCCAAATCCCAGCTCCACATGCCCAGCTGAGTGTGCAGCAGCTTGTGGACGGTTCCCGTGCAGACTCCGAGGCTGCTGAGCCCTGCTCTGGTGTCAGTGATGCACTAAGTGCTTCACACGCATGGACTCAGTCGCCTGCACAAACACCTTATGAAGGGGAGACCATCCCTGTCCCCACACTGCAGATGAGGAAACCGAGGCAGGAAGGGCAAGGGACTCATGTAGGTTCCACAGCCAGCAGGAGGAGGGACCCGGATCAACCCCTGGCAGCCTGGCGGGAGCCATCATCTTGCTCAGGAGGGTGGGCTGCTCTTCCACGTCTCCACGTTATGGGAGCAGTCGGTTTCCACGTGGCCCTCCAAGACAGGGCATCGAGACCCCTCTTGGCCCTTCTCTTCTGCACAAATAGGTGCTTTGGTAGCAAAGCAAAGATGCTCACCAAACACAGAGTGAGGCAAAGGCGAGACAGAGGCGTGGCTGTGGCTTCAAGCTGTTCTCTGTGACACACAGTTGACAGATGGGGCTGTGGTGGGAGGAAGGCATTGGACAGGCAGGCGGCTCAGAGGAAGCGGGAGCAGCTCTAGCCCTGCTCTTTCTGTGAATCTCACCCAGACCGCCGGGCGGGAAGCATCTGGGAGCTGTAATGAGGGATCTTGAGCTTTGTGGTCCCAGGGGCTCAAGTTCGAATCCTCGCTCTGCCCCTGCCTGCACCCGGGCAGCCAGAGCCGAGGGAGCCCTGGAGGACATGCGTAGTTTGGCCGGGTGCTTCTGTGCTGGGGGCGCACGACAGCCCCTCACCTGTCCCAGCCACCTCTCACCTCCGTTTCCACAGAACAGACAGAGTGGCCTTTTTCCATGAGGAACATTTTAAAAAATATGAATCATCAAAACAAACAGCACACCCCAATCCATCGGGCCTCTTGTGCTCACCATCCCATCACTCACAGCAAGGGAATGAGATGCACGCTGGTGCTGAGCTCGGCACAGGCTGGGCCCTGCTGCCTCCTCCTCCTCCTGAGACACCCGCTCCTCGGGCATTCCCACGGCTGCCCCGGCCTTTCACCAAGATCTCAACTCAAAGGCCAAGGCCCTGCAAGGCGGTCACCAGCCACGCTCCCCGTCACCAGCCAGGGCCACTGCCCTGCAGAATTCCCACTGCCCTAAGACTGAGGCCTTGGGATGCTGTTGTGTCTCCAGATCTAGACTGTAAAGTCCCATGAGGGCAGGCACGGGGTCTCAGTCACGCTGCTGCTGGCCCTGGAACTGCAGAGTGAGCTTGTAATGAGCGTGTGCAGAATTAACCCGGAACTCGAGAACAGCTGCTCTCCGGAGAGGGCTCCCCCGTGGGAGCCGGTGCAGTCTACGGTGCACCTGCTTTGCTTTCGATGGGGCCAGCACGGCTGAGCGCCCCCTTCACAGCTCCCACTCCCACTTCTCTGAGCAGAGACCCCATGTGGGTAAAGCAGAGCCCATAGCAGCTCACAGACACCTGCAGGAGGCTGTCCGTGGCCAGCTCTGTGCAGGGCCCTGGGAGGAGGCCCTGGCCCAGCCACCGCACCCATGGGAGATGAGCCTGTGCCGCAGGGGCCAAGGGAAGGAAGCGCGTGAGGTACACCAGGGCGGGGGCGGGCATCTGGTGTTTGAGGAGCCGGGACGGGCTGGGGGCAGGGAAGACCGACAGGTAAGGTGGCTGGGAAGGCCCTGGGACAGCAGCAGCCGGGGCACCAGGGCGGCGGGCAGAGGCTGCTCGGTGGGCAGAGACCAGGCCTGGTGGCCTCTCACACCTTTTATCCTACGGGAGGGGAAGGCAAGAGGTGAGGTGTGAAGTGGCAAGTGCGTGTCCTTCAATTCATCCGTGGAGCCGGTGCCTAACTCGGCGTCGGCTGCAGACAGGCATTCCAAGAGCCAGCCCAGGACAAGCTGCACCTGGGGCCTCCTGCCACCATGGCTGCCCCAGCTGGAACTGCCAAGGGCCCCTCACTGAGGCATGGTGTGTTTCCGGTGGGAATGACGGGAAATCAGGAAGCCAGGGGGGCCCTCCACACCTGCATGTTTACCTGCGGAGTCCACGCAGTCGGCAACGCTGGAGACCTCAAACCTCTGGTCAAGGATGCCGGGATAGCTGTCCAGAAAGTCCACCGACTTGAGCGGACTTCGGAAGCAAGCTCCATCTAGGACACACATTCCAGTGACTTTGGTGGAAGACAGGAGAACCCCAACCCACTGGGGACCCCAAGCCAGGGGCACCCCAAAGCATAGTGTCCAGAGGATCCAATGGCCACAGAACCATGAGCCAGGGCCTGTGTCTTAAGGACCCTCCCAGCCCCATCCTTCGCCTGTGCCTTGGGGAGTTGGTGAAACATTTCTTTCCTTCTGCAAACCTAGGTGCATTCACAGAACAGCTGAATCAGCAGGGCCGGGAGCACCCACTGCACCCCCGCCAGGGGTTGGGTTCCAGGGTCCCCACCAGTGGGCAGCGGAGCCTCACCCTGGACCCGGCACGCCAGGAGGCCCAGCAAATAGTTGCTTGTCTGTTGCAGCAGGACGTTGTTGTCACCTTCGTACGTGCTGTTGGGATCGTTGTCATCTCTGAGGACCCCCAAGCGGTTCACTGCAATGAAGCCACAGCAGCACCATCATTTAAGAGGCATGTCTGAGAAGCAGCCCGTCACTACGTGGGAATTTAAAAAGGCCTAAGAGGCCAGGCAAGTGGCTGACACCTGTAATCCCAGCGCTTTCGGAGGCGGAGACGGGCGCATCACTTGAAGCCAGGCGTTCAAGACCAGCCTGGCCAACGTGGTGAAACCTGCCTCTATTAAAAATACAAAAATAGCCAGGTGTGGTGGCAGACGCCTGTAATCCCAGCTACTTGGAAGGCTGAGGCAAGAGAATCGCTTGAGTCTGGGAGGTAGAGATTGCAGTGAGCTGAGACCACGTCACCGCACTCCAGACTGGGCGACAGAATGAGACCCTGTCTCGAAAAAAAAAAAAAAAAAAAAAAAAGCCAAGAGTTGGGGGCCAGGCCACAAAAAAAAAAGAGGGCAAAACAAAAAAAAAAAAAAAAAAAAAAAAAAAAAAAATTAGCTGGGCATGGTGGCACACACCTGTCGTCCTAGCTACCCAGGAGGCTGAGGTGGGAGGATTGCTTAAGAGGCCAGGCTTGAGGCTGGAGTGAGCCACGGTCACGCCACTGCACTCCAGCCTGAGGGACAGAGTCAAGCCCTGAACCCAGCTTGACCAGACACAAAGCACTGTTGCCCCTGCTTCACGTCCCGGCCCCGGCTCCTCCTGACTGCTGTCAGCAAGCCCTGCACGGTCACCTGGCAGAGCCTCCCCGGCACAGGGTCACTGACAGAAGGGAGCCATCTGCAGGTGCTGACTCGCCCAGGGCTGCCCTTGTTCCTTCTGTAACTGAATGAACTCTTCTTTTTACACAAGAAATTTCATGACAACTTTTTTTTTTAACGTTCCTACCGGTTAGCCGGATAACTTCATCTATGTTACAGGGCTTGCTTTCCAGGCCCTCACACACTTGAGGCTGCCTCCGCTGAAGGAAATGTTCTCTGAATGTGAGGCTGGGATGGACCCAGCAGGAAGAGGGTGGAGCTGACTTCTCACACACATACTGAGACTGATGTATCCGGAGGGCATGACAGGAGTCCTATTGCAGCCATGCTGCCGGTAGGCTTCTGATTAGGCTTGTGGTCACCTAGAACACCTGATCATTTTCTCCGGACTTGCTGTCAAATTGTGCCATGCACCTCCTGCCACGTAACAGGTCAGCCACTGAACAAGAGCTGGGAGACGTCTCAGCGCAAACATTTGCAATTGACTTTCTAAACCTACATGGAGCCTGGGTCATACTGGTCTCAACGCCAGCATTTGTGTATGTAATGGATCTCGATTCAGTCTTCTTTGTCGTTGGCAGTACTGCAAGATTCAATCTCCTTATTCTACTTAAAATGAGAGCAACGCTCAACTATGTATAGCACCCTGATGAGTTACAACAACGAATGAAAACCACTGAGGGCACTGAGCTGAGGACCAAGCACGCCCACGAGTGACTCAAGTACAGCCATGGCTACCCACATGGCAGAAGCGACACAGACAGGGTGTGGTGGGAGCGAGGCCCACGCCAGAACAGGCGTGAGTTAGGACAGCGAGGGTGGGCGGGTGATCACTGAACGTGCGGGTGTAATTCTCCACTGAGCATCGCCAAAACTCTCACAAACTTGGCAAGGGCCTGAAGTGCTCCCAGAGGGCCAGAGTTTTGCTGACTCTGTGGCTGTTTTGAGTGTGTACACAGCCTTCTTTGAGCAACCAGTGTTTACCAATTCATTATTTAAGATCAGCACACAGGAAGTTCTGCAGGGAAGCTGCAAATGATGATGATGGTAATTAATGATAACAGCATTAGCAGATAGAAAAGTCAGTGGGCACACATTACACGCTAGATGCTATGCTCACACTTCATACATGTTCATTCACTTACTTCTCGCAAGAACCTATGTTGTGGGTACACTATTTTCACCCCCACTTTATAAATAAGAACACTGAGGCACAGTGAGGTTGAGCAACCTGCCCACAGTTGCCAGGCTGGTGAGACGGAGCTGGGACTCAACCCCAGGCCAGCTGGTGCCCCACCTAATCTGCACCACACAATGCTGCCTCAGTCATCGTCAATGCTGACATCACTATATCTTTTTTTGTAAGTGTAAGAATGTTCTATCCGAATAAAACACAGTGCTAGTTTACTACCAAGCTATTCACCAAACAGTTAAAGTTCAAATGAGCACATCAGCTGCTCTCTGCCTGTATTCTGGCCAAAAGGCATCAGGCATCTGAAAGCAGCGATCTAGGTCAGGGGTTGGCAAACTTGCTCTGCCATGGACCAAAGAGTAAATATTTTCAGCCCTGCGAGCCACATGGTCACTGTCACAGCTGCGATTACTCAACTCTGCCCCTGCAGTGCGAAACAGCTGCAGGAAATATGCAAATGAACGGGGGTGGCTGTGTTCCAATAAAACTTTATTTGCAAAAACAGGTGGCAGGCTGGATTTGGTCCTCAAGCCACAGCATGCCGACCCCTGGTCTAGAGTCAAACAGCAGGGCTAAGGACAGGAAACCACCATGTGCTTCTCCAAAACCTACCAGCCAGATAGCCGTGTCCCCCACACGCCTCCCGGCATTCCTGAATTCCTTGCTGGGCGGTCCACGAGGCCAGGGACTTGCCGGCCGATGCCAGAGCGTGGATCTCTCGTCCGAGCTCTGCCTTTGGGTGAGGAAATCCAACAAGAACAGATGAAAAGAGACTTTTGACACCAAAAAGTCAGAAGTCAGTAATAACATCAAACAGTCATATCCCCCCTAGTCTAATACAAGACATCCCAAAAATGACAGAAGAGGAAACCTAATTGTAATTAGAAATAAAAAGGGTCTTCATCCAGGCATGGGTACATTGTGGTATGCTCATAGCATTTCACAGCAATGAAAACAAGGAGACCACAGCTCTGCACAGCAAATAACCCTCAGGGCCTGAACACGCGTGCCAGAAGCAAACTGCAAGAGAACGTGCACCACAGCCCACTTTAAAGTTCACAAATGTAAAAGTGAATGACACGCCATGGAAGTTGCAATCGTGCAGCGAAACCATGACCAGGCGCCAGGGAATCACACCCAACACTGCGGACCATGCTCCCTCCCTCCCAGGACAGGGAAGGGCCGGAAACCGTTCCCAGAAGGCTGCAAGCGCCTCGGTAACTGACGGTCTGCTCTGCATGGGTGCTCGCTGCGCCTCCCTCGGGCCTAACATGTTTTATTGAGATTCCTTTGCTGTCTATGGCCACACCACCCTGAATGTGCCTGATCTCGGAAGCTAAGCAGGGTTGGGCCTGGTTAGTACTTGGATGAGACACTGCCTGGGAATACTGGGTGCTGCAGGTTTAAAAAAAAAAAAAAAAAAAAAAAAAGAAAGACTTATTTTGCTTCTGCTTAATATCTAATGATGAAAACTTAAGAGACTGGGCCAGGCACAGTGGCTCACGCCTGTAATCCCAGCACTTTGGGAGGCCAAAGTGGGCGGATCACCTGAGGTCAGGAGTTCGAGACCAGCCTGACCAACATGGTGAAACCCCACCTCTACTAAAAAGACAAAATTAGCCAGGCGTGGTGGTGCACACCTGTAATCCCAGCTACTTGGGAGACTGAGGCAGGAGAATCACTTGAACCCAGGAGGTGGAGGTTGTGGTGAGGGGAGATCATGCCATTGCACTCCAGCCTGGGCAACAGGAGCAAAACTCCATCTCAAAATGAAAATAAATTAAAAAGGAAAAACAAGAGAAACACACACACACACACACACACACACACACACACACACACACGGCTAAGCCAAATGACCCATTTTACAAGTGTTTTCAACTTCACATAAGGGGCTGAGTTGAGGCCCTCCTCTGCCCGGGTTAAACCACTGAGATTCAGAAAGAATGAGCCTGGTCACCCTTTACAACATTATTCACCGGAGAACAATGCGATTCGAGTGTCAGCTGGCAGGGGCTCCAGTGACTCACGTGTTAAACACAGGCTTAACCCCTTCATCACTCAGAAGCGCTCCCTCCTCAGGCTCCCAGGCCTGGGGTGTGCTCTGCCATCAATCCTGAAGGCCATCCCTCTGCTATCACCGGGCATGAATGTGGATACCAAATATTTCGAGATATGCTAATTAGATACGGGCTTTTTCCGCGGTTGTCTGTAACCCCAATCTGTGGCATTTCCTCTCTGCTTTCCAACACAGTTATTTTTATTTACATTTCACTCTTGCTCAGGAGGCAGCAGGAGGGGTGACGGAAAATCCGTTCATAACCATCTACAATGAAATTCGTTCCCCACGTCTCTTTACACCGAGGCCGATCTCGGGATTTGCACACTTGTTTCTGGCACAAATCCTCTGACTGTCAACTCAAATCCAGTCAGCGGATTCAGACCTTTGTGCGGCTGTTTATGAAAGGCTCAGAACCGTGAAATCCATTGAGGGGAGGGTAATGTGGATTCTGCAAAACCGTCATGTTCTCAAAAGGAGCCCAACAGCTGAACTCACAGACAGGAAGCAGGAGCTGCGTCAGCACATCCTTGAGCGGCAGGAGTGTGGGCGTGTGCCCGGCCTGTTCAATCGTAGCGGACACCAAGAGCTCCGGGTGGGTGGGAACCACTGGAGGAATGCGTCCGAGGCTCTGTCCCCGCAAGTCAAAGGACTGGCTTTAAACTGAAGGTTGAACCTGTGCTACTCCAACCATGTGAAATGTGAACAACGCTGCGGAGGAAGCAGACACAAGCTCACCTGTCTGGCACTGCGGTCTCCCGCTGCAAGGCCTCGCTGGAACTCCACCAAGTCCAGGAAGAGCGACTTGGAGAAGTGTTCTAAGGCGTAGGCAGCCGCCAGATACGGAAGCAAGCGCCATTGCTAGAACAGACAAGACACCCGTGTGAACACATCACAGGTTCCCACGAAGGGCAGCCCATCCCAGGGACCACGAAGGCCAGCAGAGGGAGAGGGCATCAGGGCCACGCACCCACTAGCTTTTGAAGGTCTCCATGTGTCTTCCCGGCACACGAGAAAAACTTCACTCTGACCCGCTTTCAACTCAGCTAGTCCGGCTTCTTGTCATAGCTTTCGCCCATGCCCTTGACGGACAACCTCAAACACAATTCCCTAAATGGCAACTACTCACAGCTGTCCCATCAAAGTCACTACAGAACAAAGCGCTGGTCTATCTGAACTAAGAAGGCCACACTGCTAGGGCTGACTGCCCAGCACAATGGTTGATAGCACGTGCCTCATGAGCCCGTAAGGATGAAGCAGTCACCCTGAAACAGAGGGGAAAACTCAAGCCACACAGAGCTGGCAGCACCTCGAAGGGCAGAGGGCATGTCTTTTTCATTTTTTCTGACAAAACATAGGGTCCATCTGTTGTTGGAAGGGTGTGTGGTGGATGGATGTGTTGTGGGTAGGTGGATGAGTGGGTGGTGGATGGATGCGTGGCTGGGTGGGTGGATAGATGCGTGGATGGGTGGATGGATGGGTGAGTGGATGTGTGGATGGGTGGATGGATGGGTGGGTGGATGCATGGATTGGTGGGTGGATGTGTGGATGGGTGGGTGGATGGATGGATGGATGCATCAATGGATGGATGGATGGGTGGATGGATGCATGGATGGGTGGGTGGATGGGTGGATGGGTGGATGCGTGGATGGGTGGGTGGATGCGTGGATGGATGCGTGGATGGATACGTGGATAGGTGGGTAGATGCGTGCATGGATGGGTGGGTGGATGCGTGGATGGGTGGATGGAGGTGTGGATGGGTGGATGGATGCGTGGATGGGTGGATGGATGGGTGGATGGGTGGGTGGATGCGTGGATGGGTGGGTGGATGCGTGGATGGGTGGATGCGTGGGTGGATGCGTGGATGGGTGGGTAGATGCGTGGATGGATGGGTGGATAGATGCGTGGATAGGTGGGTGGATGCGTGGATGGATGGGTGGGTGGATGCATGGATGGGTGGATGCGTGGATGGATGTGTGGATGGGTGGATGGATGCGTGGATGGGTGGGTGGATGCGTGGATGGTGGATGGGTGGGTGGGTGGATGAATGCGTGGATGGGTGGATGGATGGATGCGTGGATGGGTAGATGGATGGGTGGGGGGGTGGATGGATGCATCAATGGATGGGTGGGTGGCTGGGTACATGGCAGGACAAGCCTGAGAGGAACCTGAGCAAACTGCCATCACCACCACGGTCTAATGTGTCAAGAGTGCTGAGCAGACATGGCATCAGCTGCCTCCATGCACTAACTTCGTTAATCCTCACACTGATCGTAGGAGGAAATTTTATAATCAGTTTCAATTTACAAATGAGAATATGAGAGCACAGCGACGCTAAGGGCCTTGCCTGATGGCACACAGCCAGCTGGGGGTGGACCTCGGTGGTGAGGCCAAGCATGGTGGCCCCAGTGCGCTCTTGACTGCCGAGCTGCCCCTGGCTCCCAGAGGGCCGTGCCCACACATGGGAGGGGACAGACACATATGAAGCAGGATCACACCTGCGGTCAAAGGATGTGGAAACAAACAACTACAATTTGGTGACGATCTCCCCCAGCTTTCACCAGATCTACCTTTGTTCATGCCTAGTGTGGCCCAGCACCTGGGCCCCAGTTAGCCTGTGCACTTTAGTGGGGTTTTCCCCACTGTGAAGGAGAGTAATCCCGACCCTCTTAGCTGTGAAGACCAAACCCAGAGCACAGGGCTCATGCCCTGCGAGTACCACAGGAACGTTCACGACGACAATTCCTCCCCCTTCCACGGAACGACGTCCGTGCTCTTCCATGCCGCTGCCTGGGCTTATCTGGGTGTGGCCACAGTTGTCCCCTCTGAGGGCATGTAGTGTGCATGCCCACACCACTGTTGTAAATGCCATTGCAGTGAACAGGGCTGTACACTCAGCTGCTGCTTCTTCAAGACCACCTCCCAGGACTCATTTCTTAGGAATGGGATGAATGTGTCAAACAGCGTGCGCAGGGCATGGAGGGCCACTGCCTGCCAAACTCTGGGGGCCTCACCTAAACACGCAGCCACGCACAGACCCGCCTCCCAGAGCCGCCCCAGACTTGCTTCTTTCTGACCGGGCGCGGTGAGTCATGCCTGTAATTCCAGCACTTTGGGAGGCCAAGGCAGGTGGATCACTGGAGGTCAGGAGTTCAAGACCAGCCTGGTCAACATGGTGGAACCTATCTCTACTAAAAATACAAAATGTAGCCGGGCGTGGTGGCACATGCTTATAATACCAGTAACTCAGGAGTCTGGGACACAAGAATCGCTTGAACCTGGGAGGCAGAGGTTGCAGGGGGCCAAGATCGTGCCCACTGCACTCCAGCCCGGGCGACAGAGCAAGGCTCCGTCTGGAAAAAAAA